CACGTACACCTGGCTATTTTATCAATTTTTTTTTTGTTTTTTTTAAAACAGAATTTTGTTCCTTTGTTGCCCAGGTTGGAGTGCGGATGCGTGCAAATCGTTTGTCACAGAAACCTCCGCCTCCCAGGTTCAAGCAATTTCTCCGTGCCGTCTAGTCCGCCTGAGTAGCGATACAGAGCGCCTGCCACTGACTAAGCTAATTTTTGTATTTCAGTAGCAGGTGTTTTGCCATGTTGGCCAGGCTGGTCTCGATCTCCTGACCTCAGGCGATCCACCCACCTTGGCCGACCAAAGTGCTGGGGTTACAGGCGTGAGCCACCGCACCTGGCCAATTTTATCTATTTTTTTGTAGAGACAGGGTTTCACCATGTTGCCCAGGCTGGAATTGCCTGTTTTTTAATTGGGTTCTTTTCTTACTATTGCATTCTTTGAGTTCCTTATATATTTTGATTATTAACCCCAATCAGATGTATAATTTACAAATATTTTCTCCCACTATGTAGGTTGGCTCTTCATTCTGTTGTTTCCTTTGCTGTGCAAAGGTTTTCCAGTTTTGAGGTAATCCTATTTGTTTATTTTTGCTTTTGTTGCCTATAATCAGGATCTTTAAAAAATAGCTCTTTGATATGAACAGCTTAGAGATGTGATCCCCGAATCAGAATTTTTAATTAGTGGATAAATGATAAAAGTTAACTTCACCAGCAATTTTACCATCAGTTTCTCTTTTGTAATGTGTATTTTAAGGGCCATATTTCATTAATGATCACCTGTCTGTGGTGCTAATCTTCAAAAGAGAAAACAGAATTTGTGTCATATTAAAAATATTAGTAATATACCATATAACTTACCAAAACATCTCAGAAATTTTATTTTATTTTTTTGGAGAGGGTCTCGCCCTATCACCCAAGCTAGACAGGCTAGAGTGCAGTGGGGTGATCACAGCTCACTACACCCTTCACTTCCCGGGCTCAAGTGATTCCCCTACTCCAGCCTCCCGAGTAGCTGGGACTACAGGTGCAAGCCACCACACCCAGCTAATTTTTAAATTTTTTTGTTGAGACAAGGTATCACTGTGTTGCCTAAGCTGGTCTCAAACTCCTGGGCTCAAGCCATCTTCCCACCTTGGCCACCCAAAGTGCTGGGATTATAGGCATGAGCCGCCATGCCTGGCACAGAAATTTTAAACAGAGTTGACCTTATCAGTGATCAGAAGAAAGGATTAAAGAGTAAATATCTACTTTGATACAATGAAGTGTTTTATCTTATAGCTTTTGTGAGTATTGATACTTAAAGTGTTTAAAATGTTGTGTATTCATAGGCAAAAATAACGTTTATGCAGTGGACATGATGAATCTGTTGGTCAGAATCCAGATATCTTTCCTCTCCTTGCCATTTTTTTTAAGATCACTTCTGTGGTATTTCTGCCAAAAAAATACATATCCTGAATCCAGTCATGAGGAATCACCAGACAAATCCAAATTGAGGGATAGTATACACCGTAACTGTCCTGTATGCCTCTAAAATGTCATGGACAAAGAAAGACTAAAAAACTGTTCAGATGAAGGGAGACTAAAAACACATGGAAACTGAATCACTAAATGCACGAGGTTATCTTTCATTGGATTCTGGACAAGAAATGGGGAGTTATCATTTTACAAAGGATATTATTAGGGCTGGGTGCAGTGGCCTGTGCCTATAATCCTAGCACTTTGGGAGGATGAGGCCAGAGGATTGCTTGAGGTCAGGAGTTCAAGACCAACCTGGTCAACATAGCGAGATCCCGTCTCTATTAATTAAAAAAGGACATTATTAGGACAACTGGCAAAATTTGAATGGAGACTATAAAATAAATGGTATTAATGCTAATTTCCTGATTTGATGTGCATACTGTGGTTATGCAGGAAAATATCCTTGCTTTTTAGCAAGGGCAGACTTAAGTTTTTAAGAATAATGGGATATCATGCCTGCAATTTACTCAAAACTAGTTTAGCAAAATAATACATATATGTGCATGCTTATAAAGAGAGAGAATATAATTAAGCAAATATGGTAAAAAATGTAACAATGAGGAAACTTAGTGAAGGATATACAAGAATTTTTTTTTTTTTTTTGAGAATGGGAAGTCTCGCCCTAGTGCCCAGGCTGGATGGCAGTGGCCGCCATCTCGGCCTCACGCAAGCTCCGCTTCCTGGTTCTGTCCATATTCCTGCCTCGCGCTCTCGAGTAGTCATGGGACACAGGCACCGCCCCAACCGCCCACGCTAATTCTTTTATATTTTTAATAGAGACCGGGGTTCCACCGATGTCTAACCAGGATGGTTCCTCGATCCTCCTGACCTCGGATCCACGCTGCCTCGGCCTCCCAAAGTGCTGGGATTATAGGCGCTTGAGGCACCAACCGCTGACCACCGGTACAAATTCAAAATAAAGGTTTAAAAACTAGTGTCGGGTGGTGGTGGGCTCATCCGTAATTCTTGCAACTTTGGAAGTCCAAGGGTGGGCCAGATCACTTAAGGCCAGGAGTTTCGAGACCAGCCTGGCCAGCATGGTGGACACCCCCAACCCCTCTGACTAAATCAAAAAAAATTGCCCAGGGTGATTGTGCACATGCCTGTAATCCCAGCACTTGGAAGGCTGAAGGCAGAAGAATCAACTGTGAACCTGGGAGCGGAGGTTGCGGTAAGTCCGAGATCATGCCATTGCACTCCCAGCCCTCGGCAACAAGAGTGAAACTCCGTCTCAAAAAAAAAATAATAAAAAAGTTTAAAACTTAGTGTAATCTTTGTTTTTTTTTTTTTTTTTTTGTGACGAGTCCTGCCGCTGTCCGCCCAGGCCTGGAGTGCCAGTGCCAGAATCTCAGCTCCACTGCCAAGACCCGCCTTCGGGATTCACGCCATTCCAACTGCTCACCTCCTCAGTACTGGGACTAACAAGGCCGCCCGCCACGCTCCGCCCGGCTAATTTTTGTTATTTTCTAAGTAGAGACGGGGGTTTCACCGTTGTTACCAGGAGGTCTCGATCGTCCTGACCTTCCTGTGATCGCCGTCTCGGCTCCAAAGGCTGGATTACAGGCTTGAGCGCACCGCGCCTCGGCCTTGTTTCTTTTTTTTTTTTCGAGCTGAGACCTCGCTCTGTCCCCGTCCTGCGATCCTTTCGCTCACTTTCAAGCCTGCCTCCCAGGTTCACGACATTCTCCTACCTCAGCCTCCCAAGCAGCTGGGACTAGGACTACAGGCGCCCGCCACCAGGCCCAGCTAATTTTATTTATTTATTTATTTTGTATTTTTACTAGAGATGGGGTTTTACCATGTTAGCCAGGATGGTCTCGATCTCCTGACCTCGTGATCTGCCCGTCTCGGCCTCCCAAAGTGCTGGGATCACAGGCGTGAGCCACCGCACCCAGCCAAAAACTAGTGTACTCTTAAAGCAATTGGCAAGGAGAAGGGAAATCTCTGGATTCTGATCAACAGATTTATCATGACCACTGCCCAAAAATTATCCCATTTTTGCCTATGAATGCACAACATTTTCAAAACGTATCCAGGTGTATACTGCCACAGGCATAGTAATGTTTGTAGCATTATAATTTCATAACATAGAAACATAATGAAAATATACTATTAATAGGCATTTTTGTAATACTGAAATCAACCAAAATACACATCATAAGGTTAAATAAAATGTTTATAAATTTGGAAAAAATGAGTTAGATTTCAATACACTTTAGCATTACTGCTCTGACATTAACTTATAAGATATGAAAGGCTATCCACAGTAAGTGATATAAGCAAATGAAAGCTTGCCTCATTCTGCATGTCTCTACATTCACAGAAGAGTATCTGGAAGAGTTTACATTAATCTGTCAAAGCAATGTCAAAGCAACCTGTGGTTGTAGGGGAAGTACTTTCAATTTTTACTTTAGGAAGTTTTTTTTTTTTGAGACAGAGTCTCGCTCTGTCGCCCAGGCTGGAGTGCAATGGCCCGATCTCGACTCACTGCAACCTCTGCCTCCCGGGTTCAAGATTCTCCTGCCTCAGCCTCCCGAGTAGCTGGGATTACACACACGTGCCACCACACCCGGCTAATTTTTTGGTTTTTTTTTAGTAGAAATGGAGTTTCCCAGTCTTGGCCTCCCAAAGTGCTAGGATTACAGGCGTAAGCCACTGTGTCCAGCCCTTTATATATTTCTATATCGTTTGATGCTTTTTGTTTTTTTGAGACAGACCTCACTTTGTCACCCAGCCTGGAGTGCAGGTATGCGATCTTGGCTCACTGCAGCCTCCACCTCCTGGATTCCAGTGATTCTCCTGCCTCAGTCTCCTGAGTAGCTGGGATTACAAGCGCGTGCCACCGCACCTGGCTAATTTTTGTATTTTTAGTAGAGACAGAGTTTCGCCATGTTGGCCAGGCTAGTCTCGAACTCCTAACCTCCAGGGATCTGCCTGTCTTGCCCTTCCAAAGTGCTGGGATTACAGGCATGAGCCACCGCAGCTGGCCTGTTTGATGCTTTTTTTAAAAAAACATAAAGGATGCAGAATTATCTGGATCAAAAAATAAAAGGAAAAAAAGTATCTCACTGCATATAGCAATAAGTTGGCCCACAAAAAGATACTGATATAAAACCCTAGTTCTGGCCATGCGCGGTGGCTCACGCCTGTAATCCCAGCACTCTGGGGGGCCGAGGCAGGTGGATCACAAGGTCAGGAGATCGAGACCATCCTGGCTAATATGGTGAAACCCCGTCTCTACTAAAAATACAAAAATTTTAGCCGGGTGTAATGGCAGATACCTGTAGTCCCAGCTACTCAGGAGGCTGAGGCAGGAGAATCGCTTGAACCCAGGAGGCAGAGGTTGCAGTGAGCCAAGATCACGCCACTGCACTCCAGCCTGGGCGACAGAGCGAGACTCCGTCTCAAAAATAAAAAATAAAAAATAAAATAAAATAAAATAAAATAATGAAAAACCCTACTTCTTAAAAGAAAAAAAACTTATGTTATTACCTTGATTTCTCATTGGAATGGTTAGTAGAGCAAGGTATGGCAATAGCTGAGTTTGGAGGCATAAAGCTGGCAGGCAGAAATCAGGAAAAAGTGCTTTTGCTGCCAGGCAATTTTCCCGATACTGTATAGAAAAGAAAAAAAAAGATGAAAGGAAAAACGAAATTAAAAATATGTATTCCTAGACAAACTAAGTTTACTATATAAACGTACACAGTAAGTTTATATTAACTTGTAGGTTTATATACCACAAATATACTTTTAATAGCTTATATAAGTAGTCCTTTATAGTTTGTCTAACATTGTCTAATAGAGTATTTTACCTACATAACTATTTCACATTTGATAAACAAGAATTTTTAAAAGACATTGAATGTATAAGAAAACCAAATTTAAAACTCAAAGGAATTATTTATGAGCACACACACATCACAAATTACATGAAAATATTATTTTTAATGAAATAATTTGTTTTCTGTAGTCAACATAATGTTACGCTGAGCAAGAGAAAAGCACAATCCCTGCCTTCCACGCATCCCACCGCGCAGTTAATTTTTTTTTTTTTTTGTTTGTTTGAGACGGAGTCTCGCTCTGTCGCCCAGGCTGGGAGTGCCAGTGGCCGGTCCTCAGCGCACTGCAAGCTCCGCCTCCTGGGTTCACACCCATTCTCCCTGGCCTCAGCCTCCCGAGTAGCGGGGACTACAGTGCCGCCACCCCGCACCGGCATAATTTTTTTTTGTAGTTTTAGTAGAGACGGGGTTTGCACCGTGTAGCCAGTATGGTCCTTGATCTCCTGACCTTGTGATCCGCCCATCTCTGGCCTCCCAAAAGTGCTGGGATACAGGCTTGAGCCAACCGCGCCCGGGCTGGGCCTAATTTTTTAGTATTGTTAGTAAGAGAACAGAGTTTCACCAATGTTAGCCAGGATGGGTCTCGATTTCCTGACCTCGTGATCTGTCTGCCTCAGCCTCCAAAGTGCTGGGATTACAGGTGTGAGCCACCGTGCCTGCACGCTTTGTCTTTTATAGCAATATATTTTAATTTGCCTGTGTAGCTACATATAAATTTCTGAGACTGTTAGCTTTTGGAAGGCAGGGATTGTGGCTTTTCTCTTTGCTCAGCGTAACATTATGGTTGACTACAGAAAACAATTATTCATTAAAAATAATATTTTCCATGT